CGTGTAAGGGAAGTTCTGTTATCGAGTATCTCTGGTCTTTCAGCTGAGATGTTGTATCAATCTCGCTCAGCTCAGATTGGCCCTGACAGGCAGGGCCGAAGCCCGCCCCCTAAATTATCTGAATTTTGACGCTGGGGCAGTAAAAACACAAATAGAACATTTCGTTTTCACGTAAACAAATAAAAGGAAAAAAAGAGGCTGGTGTAGACATATAAAAACTTAATTACACGACTTGGACTTGTGAATAGATGGGCGACAAAGATGATACATATTTTTGTCTAACATTAAACAGAAAAATGAATGGCCATCATGAATGTCTGTCTCATGTGGAAATGGGTTTGTTTTATTTTTTTCTTCTATTTTTCATGAAATTTTTCATGAAATTAATCAATGTCTTTGCTCGTTCGTCCATTTCCCTCCTCTTTTTTTTTCGTTTGAAATATCTGTCCCGGTGGTTTTATGATAAAAAAAATTGAAATTATGCAAACTGAGCCCAAAAATGTGAAATCACGCGATTCTGTTGATTTTAACAAAGAATGATCAAGGAAAATAACCAGAAATTGTTCTAAAAAAATGATCAAATTTTGCAAAATTATGAGAGGTGCATAAACCCCCCGTGCCAGAAATACATGTATTGACATCAACCGGATACTCTAATATATAAGGGTTTTACCTTTCAGATAGTCAATGTTACGCAGAATCTCTTTCTCGTTCCGGAGGTCAATACGGTGAGTCATCGTGGTTCGGAACCGAGGCTCTGCAGCTAACAAACATAGTTGGCAGTCCTTGACAGAGAGGGCCAGGCTGGAGAGAGCGATAGGATAAAATTTTTACTAAAAGTAAAAACAAAAAAAAGGCTCTATTTGTTTGATTTCTGCCTTTCGGTTTTGTTTGTGAGAGAAAAAGGGAACAATATCTCACCAACATAGTGACAGTGACGGACAAAATTTGCGTTTGTTACAATAGCTAGAGGTAGATAAGAATAACATAAACTGAAGACACAGAACTAAAATTATATTTTTTGGGGTTATGTTTGTATTCTTAAACATGGATTGGTACCCTTGGCCGTTCACGAAAGAAATGATTGTGCATGAAATCCCCAAAATTGATGTTCAGTCACGATCGAGATTTTGATTCTTGATTTATTATTTGTGCATATTATGTTCCACCATGAAAGAAATATGTTTGCTGTGCACCCCC